GAAGTAGTGACCACTTTTCACAACCGAGCTGAAGCCGCGGACTCTATGCGATTGAAATTTTTCCCATTCTCTTTGAAGGACAATGCTAAAAGCTGGTTGTATTCTCTACGACCTAGGTTTATTAGAAGTTGGGAAGAAATGACGACAGCATTTTTCAACAAGTATTTCCCTCACCATAAGACCAATGGTCTGAAGTGACAGATCTCGACCTTTACCCAGAAGGACAATAAAACTCTGTATCAAGTTTGGGAACGGTTCAAGGATCTGTTAAATCAGTGTCCTCACCATGGTTACGAGAGTTGGCGCCTCATAAGTTATTTCTACGAAGGACTCACGATTCGAGAGCGCCAATTTGTGGAGATGATGTGCAATGGTGAGTTTCTCCAAAAGGATCCCGAGGAGGCTTTTGAGTATCTTAATGAGTTAGCCAAAAAAGCCCACACATGGACTGGTCCAAGTGCTACTGACAGCATCAATCGGTCCCGACCAGCTGGAATCTATCAACTAAGGGAAGAGGACAATCTCAAAGCCCAAATTGAGTCTTTGACATGGCAAATTGAGACCCTCAAAACCAAAGATGATAGATGAATTCACATGGTTGCTAGGGCAGAGATACAAGAGCCTTGCTTTGTTTGTGGAGGGCTGGAGCATCTAGCTAAGGATTGCCTTGCTTACAATGAAATGAGAGGGGTTTACGAGGAGCAATGTAATGCCTTAGGGACATTCCACAAACCCTTCTCTAACACATACAATCCTGGCTAGAGGAACCATCCAAACTTCAGTTGGAAAGATTCCAACCAAACGCAACCATCAGGAGGACAGTGGAGAACTGAGCAACAGCCGCAACCACCAAAGGCGTATTCTGCCCCTCATTAAAATTCACAACAGCCAAGGAGTTCTCTTGAGAACACCTTGCAATCTTTCATGGAGGTGCAGAGTAAGATGAATCAGAAGTTTGAGTCCCTATTCACGCAAATGGTGGAAGAAAGTAAAGAGATGAAGAGTCAAATCACGAAGCTGACTGGAGCTTTGGCTGTTCAAGAATGCGGCAAGTCCCCTTCACAAGCTCAGTCAAACCCAAAGGGCCAACATATGGCGCAAACCTCTTGAGGAGTTTGCTTCCAACACTTTTGTATCATATTTTTGTTTCTTTGTTCTGTTTGGTGGTGTTTTGTGTGCTTTGTGTGCTTTTATTTTCAGTTTGTTTTTGTGTGATTTTATATTTGTTTGTGTGTTTTGGAGAATCAATTCAGGAGGCTTGGCTTAGTTCCAATGTTCATCATCCAGGTATTCTCTTTCTTTCCCTGTCTTCTTCATATTGTATATATTTTTAGACATTGAGGACACTGTCTGATTTGGGTTGGGGGTGGTGAGCATATTCATGCGTGAGATTAATTTTTGTCTTGTTGTTATTTTGGGTCAAAAATTTTGCGAGATTATCTGGGTATGATTTCAAAATGTTCGGTTTGAGTCAGTTTTTTGCTATCTTAATTACCAAGAAATGATTTCCAAAGTTCTTTTTGAGCACATTCTAGACCTTGTGGTAAGATGGTTGTTAACACATTTAGTTGAGAAAGACTCCCCGAGTTTAAGTTTTTCATTTTTGGTGAGTTATGAGAGTTGAGAAAACAGTTTTTTGAACTTTCATTGATCTTTTGAGTTGGTTGATTCATTAACAGAGCACCATTGCTTGACTTGTGACATTTGCTTGAGGGATGATTTCTGGTTAGGAATAATTTTTAGAATTTAGCCATGTGTTGTAGATATTTATCATTTTTCTTTTGTATTTCTTCTAAAAAAGGGAAAAAAAAAAAAAAAGAGCAAGAGCATCATTTTATCATCCATGTTTACGTAGTTTGGTTGTACTTACATCTTGCACTGCATAGCAGCTAGTCAAAAGAATGCCTTACTACATCAGCTTCATCAAATATATGTTGTCTCTTGCCTTAAAAAAAGAAGAAAAAGAAAGAAAAGAAGAAAAGTTTGTGTATATTTGTTTATAATTTTCGGCTCTTTGTTTGTTTATGAGATTCTCCTTTTGACCAGAATGAAATCCCGAAAGCTTGTTTATGGTTTAAGTGATGGTTTGTTCTAGATATTTGATTTGCCTATCATTTGATCAATGTTTGTTTATTAGCTTGTCCTTAAAATTCCCTTCTCTCACTTGAGCGTTGACTGATTGACTTCCAACTCCATGAGTGATAATCCTTTGCATTAAAATATTTCTGACACCCGTGAGGTAAATGGAGTTTAGACTTTTTCTTGGTGAGTTTTTCGATGCTATTTGTGTTATGGAATGTGGTAAGAGGGATACAGTTTGGTGCACACACACACGACTCTGGAGTTACGACTGAAGTAGTTTTGATAACATTTCTAATGACTTACTAATGTTTTGTTTGATTGCTTAGGTGATTTTGCTAGTTTTGATTTGAATTTTCTACTTGACATGATTTTTCTTTCGCTTGAATTGCTAGGGACTAGCAATAAGCTGGTTGGGGGTTGACTACTCATAAAACAATATTATCGATATAATTATATTGATAAGTGCATGAAAATGCACCTAAATTGTTCATAATTGCTAAATAAATTAAGTTTTAATTAAATATTTCTGTGGAATTAATATTTTGTGAAAGTATTTGATTTTAATTTAATTTAATTTTTTTTGTAGGGAAATAAGACATTTGGGCCAAAACTAAAGAAAATGGAAATGAAGCCCATCCGTAGCCGTCTGCCGAACCGAGCCAAGCTAAGCCGAGTTGCGCCAGTCCCTTAAGCCGCCACGTGTCGTTTGTCTGCTGCACTTTAACCGCGTGGGACCCAGTTGTCCCCACGCGTACGCGCGCTTGGCTCACAAGGATCGCTCCCTCGGGCGAGTTCACTCCACGCGCACGTCAACCAATTTGCCATCCACTTCCACGTGGGTCCCGCCATCCAGCAGCTCTCCAACCACCTTTCGCCATGCGTCCCGTCGGACCCAGATGCTCCCTCACACACGTGCGTTTGGCGCGCAACTCCTTCCGCCTGGGCGAGTTTCTTCCACACGCGCGTCAGGTTTTCTTCCACGTGGGCTCCAGCTGTCCAGAGGCTTTCCTCTCCACGAATCTTGACGTGCCACATGTCTCTGGCCTTTCGCTCTTCCTTTTTGTTGCCATTTGTGTCCGTTATTTTGCCGTTCTTCTTGACTGAGTGCAACAGCTGAGACTCTTCTTCAGCCCAAACTGTTTCTGATGGTTTCTTCCTCATTGAGTTCTAGTTTTTATCATCCCAATTAATCATTTGTAAATTTCAATTAATTTTAGAACGTTTGTCTCTTTTTTTAGTTGTTGATTGTAACCTTTGGCATGGCCCAGAAACTTTATAAATAGGGCCATGTCAAGGTGTTTAGGTGGTTGATTTTTAGCCTAAGTTTAGACACATTTTTCTCTCTTTGGTGAGGTTAGAGAGAAACCTATATGTGAAGTGATCTTGAGTGAATTTTGATTCTCTATTTGTTCTCCAAAGTTTATATATTTGAGTGATTAATTTTCTTCTATCTTCTTCTAATTTCTCATATTGATATATTTTATTGTCAACTTTTATATAAATCTAGTCAAGCTCTTTTTATGTAATTGTTGCATGATATTATATATTGGTAGGTATTGTTTTGTGAGTAGTCTTTTACTACAATATTGTCAACAGTATATTGTCGCTTTTAGATTTCTCATAAGATAATTTTTTCTAATACTAAACCTAAGAATTTTACTCACTCGAATACATTTTAATTCACATGTTCTTCAAATATTTATTTTACAATTGTTAGTTTAGGATATGAAAGTTTCAATTGAGTAATCTCAAAGATCAAAATCCATTCGGGTGAACGAAGCATATAAGGGAATCTCGACGCCTTACCGGTTTTAATTATATAGTTTTCTCCTATATTTTTCTTACACTTAAACTTCTCAATAAAAATTCCATTCTCTTTTATTTTTACTTTATTATTTATCTCCTAAAGCTTTTTATTTGCTAATCGTTTCTTGTTCAATTTGTCACTTCCTCGTGGGATCGACCGTCCTAATTATGCTATAATTGACCGCTTATTTTATACACGTTTGGGCGTAATCAATTGTGATGACTTCGGAATATGAATTAAGCAAGATATTAATAAGGATATTAGGATTTATATTCAACCAAAGTTGAATGCTAAACCGTAGTTAAATTACCAGCGTATGTAGAGGATTACAGTATTCAACCAAGCTTGATTTTGATTTTTTTATTTACTTTATATTTATATTTTATTTTTTTTTATTTTTTTATTTACGTAAGAGCGAGTAAGGTAGGAAGGCCTTCCTTACCAGCCTCTTTTTAATACATAGCAAAGTAAAACACTTTTAGGAATCAAAACCACTAAAATTCAATAATAAAAATAAGACTAGTTGTGATAAGATATAAGAGCAGTTATTGACTTTTGAAATATAAAAGTAACTGATGAGATGTATTTATCCTAATATGGAGAAATTTTTTATAACTATTCAAAAGTAACTGTCTATATCAATAGACATCTGTAATCAGGACAATAGTAATAAGATTTTTAACATTAAAAAGAGATTAAAATATATCTTTTAAAGAATTATGAAGATGAGAAAGAGTAAGTTATGAGAAAAGTTTTTTTTTAAAGAACTTATGAGGAAAGTTAAGTATTGTAGCATTTAGAAAATCATTAAGGGTGTGTTCTTTTCTATAGTTTGAAATTTGAGATTGGAGTATTAAATTGGAATTGTGTTTGAAATTTGAGTTGTGTGTTCACTTGGACAATTTGTGATTGTTAAACTTGAGTTTTGTGTTCACTTTTGACAAAAACACAACTCCAATTTTTGTAAGTATTGACATGGATTTTTTTTTTTTAAGAGAGACTACCCATAACACACCTACATTCATAAATAACTAAAAAATGTCCATAAGTTTAGCATTAGAAAGTATTGTAAAACATATAAGGTAGTCAAAATTGCGAAACAGATATGTAACTACCGATTGCGATATGCTTCCAATGCCCCCCACATGCTAGCAGCCATCTCGTCCCTCAAAATATTCATTTGTCTACGATTTGTGGAGTTGTGATTTTGTTCTGTTCCCCGATCAGGATTGTGATTCTGATTAACATCTTGATCTGCATTCTCTGGATCAATTTCAAATACTGGTACTCCGTCTCTTGTGTATTGGTTCAGTAGCTCATCGCTATTGTTGTACATATGTATGAAATTGTGAAGCACAGCACAAGCAAAAGGAATTTGTATATGTTTATCTATTGGGTAATTATTTATGCACTTGAGTATACGGAACCTTGCTTTCCAAACACCAAAACTACGCTCAATAGCATTTCTTAGAGACAAATGCGTGTAATTGAACAACTCACGCTGAGTTCGAGGACGACCACGTCTTACCCTATACTCTTGAAGGTGATATGTGCTCCCCCGGTACGGCGCCAAGAAACAATCGTTGTTCGCGTAGCCAGAGTCTACAAGGTAGTATTTACCTACAATATCCATCACAAATCAATAATTAAGTACGGATAACTCTTTAGTGCGGTCAATCAACCAACGATGATGCTTGTTTATGAACTGATGATGGGTATTTTTACCAACAAATCAAGTACTTTTAAGCTTAAATATTTGTAAGTTTTCAAGCATTTTTGTTAGTTTAATGTCTTTTGTTTGCTTTTATAGGAATTATAAATAAATGCGAACTTGGATGATTTTGCATGAAGAAAAGAAGAATATTTGCCCAACTTGTGAATCAATGCCAAGAGGAGGCTTGGAATGCAAGGAAGCGGGCTGCAGCGCACCCTTTTAGGCTACAGCGCGCAAAGGAATACAAAGAAGTCCAGAGAGCAAGGGAAGTGCAGGCTGCAGCGCACTAAAACGTGCCCAGCTCCAAAAATGCGCGCTGCAGCGCACCAGAGGGGCTGCAGCACGCCCAAAACGTGCTCAGAGGCTGGACACGCGCTGCAGCGTGCCCAAGGGGCGCTGCAGCGCGCCAAAAGGGCCCAGGAATGTGTCCTACGCGCTGCAGCTCGCCCAAAGGCGCTACAGCGCGTCTCAGCCCCCTGCGAGCAAAATCCCTCTTCCAAAAATACGCGCCACAGCGCGTTTTCATGCGGGCTGCAGCGCGCGACTGAATCCCTAGCTCTGAAATGTTGTAGTATAAAAGGAAAGAGATGCCATTTGGAAGGGGAGCCCGGAAAAGTGAAGAAAACATCAAAAGGAGGCCGAAATCCTTCATCTTGGAGGTCCTTGGAAGCTCTTCAATGGATATTGGGTTTTATCTTCTTTCATCTATTTTTCCATGTTGAGCTAGACATTAAATCTAGGACTTGATGTAGTTTTATTTGAACTATGTTTTGAATATTTTGTTGATTGTTAATTTAATTTCATTTTC